TCCCCCCCCCCCCCCCCCCCCCCCCCCATCATCCCCATCGTATCTGCATTGTTCAATCCTGGATCATCACCACTCTTGTCTTGCCATGTACTCTTAGAGGTAAGGGAGTATTACGAATAAGATGCGCGTTGTTGTAATGGTAGCATGCTACGGATTCATATATTTTAGAGTTCCGAGTGAAAACTGCAAGCATTGTCTAGCCGTCTGAGCCTTTGCCTTACAGTCGGGCTCGACGTGCAGATTTCGGAATGATTGCGTACCGTATGGGGATATCGGGGAGATTGGGTATACTTCGATCGAGCCGCATATCGTCGATGAGTTGACGTCTGGCCCTGGGCGAGCCTGACACGTCTCGGAAAGGTGTAGCAACGTCTAGCTTCCTTAAGCACTAGGCAGAATCAATGATGTCTAGCGGCTACGGTGTTCAATCTGTTGTCTTACATTTTAAATGAGGGAAATGGGAGCGCCCGCGCCATCATATGGCCGAGGTGATGGTGTGGTCTGAGTGATGTCGTACAGTGGTCACGGTGGACAGTCAAATGTTTAGCTTCTCATCTATCTGCCAGTTCATAGCATTAGCTTGACGTCGCAGCTTTCCTATGTTGCACAAATGAGAGGGATTCACAGCACATCATCCCGGACAGGAGGCTATTGCACGGATACATTGCGAACCCAGCGCATGTCCTGCAACCCAGGCTGTGCCGAATATTTCTGCTACGATCATGCCCATATCATACTAGCACCTAAATTCTACCTTCTGTCTACATGGGGATAGGCCTTCGCAGACAATGAAAGGAGTCAAAGAAAATAAAGGACACTACGAACGATACGATCCTGCCAACCATATGGAGGCTGATCCGAACGATGTCCAGCCCCGTTTATTTGACAAGTCGACAACATGGACTTGCAGTAGTCACCGATGAAAGTCGGATCTGTTCAATCACAGACCCTGAGGACAGCAGGCCCTGTCGAAAATGTCTTCGAGAAAGCCCCTGGCGTCCATTGTATGGCATAAAACGCGGGGCCTGTCAGAAGGCACCGATGCCCGAGGGAGATGACCTTACGGCTTATGTATCGCGCAGCAAGATTGTCGACCACACGACCTCCCGTTTAGGGTCTGCACCTGTCTCCCGGAGAGGATAATCCGTGTTTACCTTGCTGCTGCGCCTATTGGCCTCGGAGGTGATCATGAGAGTGATCATATCATTCCGGCTGCAGCGCCCGTCGGCGGGATTGGTTCCCCACAATCGTCCTAGGCTCCTAGAAGCGCAGACGAATATGGCAGGTGAACGAAGTGATGGTGGCGGAAAATTACGGCTGAAGAGACGCAGAACGAGCCCCTGCTACGGTATCTCATCCGCAACCGTCGATGGGATAGGTACAAGTTTTACCCACACAGCCTTGATGTTGAGATGTGCGCTGAAACGCAGAGGAGCGGCCGATACCCTGACGGTGCCCACTTGTACAATATTGCAAATATCGTACAGGGGAGCACCGTTACACCCTATATATAATCACAGGGATCGAAGAGCATAGTACATGTGAGCAAGACAGAACTTCTGTTTGCAAATTGCCCTGCGATGTTCTACCTTGAGCGCAGGCAGCATCAATCATCCAGCGTTTTAAGGTTGAAGCCCAGGGTGCTACTGGCGCCGTAAACAGTGACATCTGAACAACATTACGCGGGTAAGATAAACCGCAGAACTGGGCCGCGTGAAGGCGAAGCACAGATCAATACATACCAACGTAAAGCCCGTCGCCAGATGTAGTTGGTCATATACTATATCAATGCCAATTGCACCACTAAGTAGGAGATGCCATTCCATACTGCTTATCTGTTGGAGCATAATGCCACCGACACTCTATGATCGCAGCGCACTAGTCATTTCGAGGGGTGTTGACCATCAGTCGTCAGACTCAATGCCATTGCATATAGCGGTGCGCACCACTCACAAAAATCATGAGAGCTCCTCTTGGGTATGGCTGCAGATATGTCATATCCAGAAACGGCGTCCGTCCGCTGATTCTGAATGTTCTGTAGTCATTGCTATTGCAACTGGGGCTCTCATGTTGTACTGTAATCTGCAGGCCGTTTGTACCGCCATGAGAGGTGAAATAGTATTCTGGGGTTCAAAGAAAGCAGCTTCTAACGCTGTCACTACCAATTTTGTAGGAAGGCTCATCTCACACTACACGACCGTAGGACGCAAGTCTTTGTTGCGCGTGAGGATCACATCACGGTCCCGTGACCGCGACGCGTCGACGCGTTCCACGTGTACGGGTCAAATAAAACGCGTCCAGACGAGGCTCTCGACCAAAGTGATGGCTTAAACAATCATATTATATTGTATACAGTCTATATGCAAATACAGATGACGAATGCAAATTGGTTAGCGTGGTGAATGCGGAACGAGACGGACGTGCGAGAGCGTGAATGCTGAAATCAAGGAGGGAGGGGGGGGATCCACATGCAAACCGTGACGGGGTGATAGTTTGCGGAACGGTGAGGAATTGTGCTTCATAGAAATGTCCCGGACGTAGGGCCATCTGCGTACCGATCCCTAGCCCCGTTCCCGTCCCATCGTTCCCGACTCTTCCCCTTCCCCTTCCCGTTCTCTTGGTGCCCCGAGTGATCCAGGGAAACATTCGATGAACCGAGAACTCCCGAGGGGGATGCCTCCCATATCCGAATGGTGCTATCGTCTGAACACGACGCGAGCATCCGCTCGTTCCGCGGATTCCATGCAACGGAGTTGACACTCCCTGCACCGTGCCCGGAAAGTGTCTCGAGTAGCGTCGCGGAATCTCGATGCCAGATGTATACTATTCCATCTGATAAGGGTTAAATCATGTCTATGATTAACTTATGTCTATCAAAAGTATCAGATGACGCACCTTCGCTGCCGCTTGCGACAAACTTTCCATCCGTCCCGCCAAAGCAGCTCCGAATAACGTGTCGTGACTGAGAGTGTCCCGTAAATCTCCATGCAATTCGCCCCGATTCGAGATCGCGCATTTGAATCTCCTAAAGGGAAAAGAAATATGATCGTACCCCATTTGCAACAAGTCTGCCTCGCTACTTACGCATTGCAGTTCGGATTCGGGGGACTCGGGGCTACGGTTGATCAGAGCATACTTGGAATCCCGCGAGACTTTGACGCTCGTCAACTCCCCCTCGACTGGAATGAATCTATTCACACGATTGAGCTCGCCAAGAGCACCAACAGATATGATACTCCGGTGAAGACGTACGTTTCCGGCTCCCTAGTGGCCAAGTCGTAAACAATCACCCGCCTCTCCGAATTCCGTGGAAGGGGTGGATTTGCGCCGCTCTCCGGAGGTGTCGCGCTAGGGCCAGGTACTGCAGGAATATCATACATACCCACCGCTACGATGCGGGTGAAGTCGGGGGTGACTGTAAGGTCAGTGACCCGGATGGGGCATGGACTCCACGCGTAGCGCTGTTTTCCGTCGGCGTCCTGCTCGCGCGAGGCCGTCAGCACTAAAAATCGGACGTAAGCCGAGAACGTACCCATAGGATAATCTTCTTATCCATTCCCCCGGAGATGAACCCTGACCCGTCTGGCAGCCACACCAGCGCAGTGACAGTTTCCGTATGTGCGTCAAGCAGCCGTGCGCACACCCCGGTCTACGTGCAGAGTCAGTCTGTGTCATCCAGAGCATCCGCTATTTACTCACTCTGGTATTCCACATCTTGATGATTTGTTCTGCGGCAGTGAGCAATATGGAATCATCTGGAGACCAAGACACGCAGCCGACGGGATCCTGATGATCCCGCAGAACGAATTGTGACGAAATCTCCCGTATTGAAGGATCCTTGTCATACTGCGAACAGGTTTGCTCAATGCTACCAACGGCGAGAGTCAAACTCAGGAGCTTTGTGACTTACCTCAACTCGCCATATGATAGCAGACTTGTCCTTGCTCGCGCTGGCCAGGTAATTCCCGTTGTGGCTCCACTCCAGATTCCAGACCTCGTCCGTGTGCACTTCTAGGATGGCTGTTGTGACGCGAGGAAGTGCATTTTCGTCGCACACATGATCTGCATATAACGAGAATGTTCGCGAATTGGAAGGCGCATTGTGGAATAGACATTGGTCCTGTTGCCACAAACGGGCTTGGTCGAGCAGTCTTGCAAAGCGTCTTTGAGGAATCATCACAGATGAGGGTATATAACCTGCCAAGGGGGTGAGCCAGCGGTCGGGCCGTGAGCAATAGCGTCACGTACGCTGCAGGTTCACCAGTAGCTGCCGTCTTGACGTTCCAGATGCCCCATCCCACTCAGCTCGCTGTCTCAAATCTTGCGGGTCCGAACACATAATAAGACTAGCGAATGATGAAATTCGTCGACGATTGCAGAATGTAGAATGATAGACATACCTCGATAATGATTGGAGCTGGTCCAACTCAACGTTCAATGGTGCCAGTTCATTCCGAAGAACGTGAAGCGCAGCGGTGGGCTTATTCGCCTCTAGCAGCTCGAGGTATTTCTGCTGACTGATTAAAAACTTGGCCTCCTACAATCGTGGAGATGAATATCATAATCATCACAACTGCGCAATTGAGTTGAGTTACCCATAGTCTCTCTTCGTCGACAGAACCCAGACGCATGAGATATGCTTGCGCATTGGCCCAATCTGCGTCCAGAATGGCTCTTCTGAACTCAGCCACTTCAGAGCTCTCCATAGTGTAACCTGACTCAGCCTCCAGAGTAGCTGCCGACTCGCTAAGAGACATTCACGCATTAGGGAATTCCAGCGGGGAGGCTCATATGCTCACATGTAACCGACATCCCGCAAGCTCTGGATGACGAGCTTGATGAACTCCTCTCTATCGACATACGAGTCGTCATATAGTGTTGTGCCCGGCAGGGACACTCTGCCGATCGACATGCCATACTTAGCCGACTTAACTCCGTCCGCGCTGCTGAGCGCAGGCGGCTTGAGGGAGCCATTTGTGTACGAGTGGCCATAGCCATTGCTCTTGAGCGCGACTCCGTTATGGCCATTGGAGGGCCCAGGCGCAGAGGACGGGCCAGCCTCAGGCTCTGTGTCGAGCCCGAGAGACCGCTCCGAGACCTGGTCTGTGTCCGTCAGTCTCATAAGTACGCTGCTGTGGTAGGCAAGGGAAATCGAGGGGTCTTCCGACAGTAATTGGCGTTCAATGGAAGCGAGAGAGGTGGACGCGGACGAGGTCTGGCTGTCGATCCGCTGCCGCTTGCGGGCACGGGCGACGTCTGGATCAGATGCTGGGTTGCACTCGGCGGCGAGCGAGGACGCGTCTGCGAGACCAGAAGATGGATGAAGGTAGGACAAAGGGGTCGGGCTGGACGAGAGGGTGGGAGCGGTCGAGGACTCGGGGTCGCCTTCCTCCAATTCGGCCCTGGACCGGGTCGATGGAACCAAGCTGGGTCTGGATGGAGGAGTGCTGGAGGGGAAAGGCCTAATCAAGGACGC